CCACTTTTTACGACTGTTATAAAGCTGTGAGAGGACGACGGTGGAATTATTGTCTCTCAGTTTCAGTGCAGCGATAAATTAATTCAACAACCTGAAAGAATTTCTTCTTCAAAATATGAAGAAAATCTTGGTTTGTAATTGAGGATCAAAAATTATTTACCAACCAATTAGCAGAACTGCTGCAGCTTTGAGCGGAGCGGGAATCAGCCCTGTGTTGAATCCAGTTTCATTAGAGAGGTTATGTTTTAACGCTCCTGCATTTCAATGAGGTGTGGGCTGCTGCTCCCCTGGTCTCAGTGTTGAAGGGATTACTGGCCCTCCTCTCTCTCTCTCACTCTCTCTTCTTTCATTTGTTTCATTTATTCAGCCTCTGGATGATAATCTCTATGTGTTTTGTGGTTTTGCATTTTAATAAAGTTGAAGTAGGTGTTTTTTATTTTCTTTCTGTCCATCTCTCTCTCCCACCTTTTATTCATTCATTTATTCATTTCTTCATTTCTTCAATTATTTTCAAACTGTCTCAAATTCTGCAGCAGGTTATTGTAACTTTCACGGTTTTGCATTTCAACGACACAAACCCCTCGGCTCTTTTTTTTCTCTTTTCTCTCTCCGTCTTTCTCTCCGTCTTTCTCTCCGTATGGTGATGAAGGACTCACTCCAAAGGGAGAAGTTATTCCCTCTCTCTTTCAGTTTATTTCCTTTCCTTCATCCTGTCATCAGGGCCTTAAATTCTGCAGCTTTATGGAGGTTACAGTCTGTTTGGTGGTTTGCATTTCAATTAGTCTAACCTCAGCTTTTCTTCTCCCTCTTCTTTCTCTCTCTCTCTGTCTCGTGGTGCTCTGATCAAAGACTCATTTCCCAGGAATGCATTTGTCATATTTGCCATAATTTTTTTTTGTCTTCATCCACACCAGGTAGGACATGTGCTAACTCGTGGCTTTTGCTGCTGTCAGAACGTCTCAGAGTCTGGACTCAAGTTCATGCACCAGCTTCTCAAAAATCAAAGAATCATGACATTTTGGTCGAGCAACCTGCAGATATTGATATTGAAATTAACACTAGATCAATTAATGACAATGGATGCAGAAGAAGACATTGATGAGGCAGATTGGAATATTGTTTCTTTAAAAGCGCAAAAAATCAGACGACAAATACAAATTTATTATGAGCGCGTACACAACTCAAACCTTTTTCTGACGACAAGCAGCAACAAGGGTGAAGCAGCTTTAACC